TTCTCTTTAATAATCCTTGTGTTGATCTAACTACATATATATGGAACATCTCCCAGCATGTACTTCATCTCTGACACCACAATCACAGGTTTGGACCTCCAATTTTATCTTTAAATCTTAATATTTATATATTTTTTTAAAACAAAGTGGACTGTGTATGACGTCCCTAGTGACACCAGAAAAGTCGCTAGATTTGTCTCTAGTCGCTTTTTTTTTTTAAAAAGGGTCGCTGTAGGGGTCTGGAAAGTCGCTAAATATAGCGACAAAGTCGCTGAGTTGGCAACACTGCACTGGCAAACCAGGCAGCCGGGGCGGCATTTTTATAAAGGAGAGCGGGACGCGTGCTTCCAAAAAAAATATAACTCCCACTTGGAGTGGGTCTCACCCGGGGAGTAGAACTGCCAATGACCATCTGTCTCTCTGCGTCTATATAAGACTGTGGCGGCCCAAACGAGATTTTCATTTTTCCAGTACACAAAACATTGATGTTTTACTGCCATGTGAAGTGTTAAAACATCTTGCTAGCTTGGTTTCTGTAGCTAACTTTTAGCCTAATATTTGAGTGAACTTAAATTATTTTATCTGGAGTAACACTACCGAGTGTTTTGAATGGCGAGTATGATTTCATACATTTGTTATACATAGTGCACACAAACATTTTCTTTTTATGCTCTAACAGTATAAATGAGAAGGGAAAATGTTACTCTAAAGCTACCCTAAAACACTAAGAAGGCTGTGAAATAGAACACTGATAATGTAAAGAGTCTCCATAAAATTGAAACAGAAATGCTATGGAATTTGGTTTAAGTAGAAAAAACATTAAGGTTTTTCTGTACATTTCGGGCTTAATTTGAGGACTTTCATCATTAAACAAATTCTAATTTGTCCTGCTAAATTCTGAAACAGCTCAAAAACCAGGATAATTTTACTCAGACATACCACTACTTGTTTCGTTACGAAGAGCCCAAATGTTATTGAACTAGAAAATCCAATTAACCAGATTAAATTATGTTTTTGCGTTTAATTTTTAATTGTTCCCAAATCCCTTTCTCACTTAAGGGGCACAAGATTAATCTTAACTGATATGCAACTTTCACAGTTACACAGTCAGTAGTCCTTTTCAACGTCATTTTGCGTCTAATTGTGTTTGACTTTTCATTTTAAATGCCACTATAATCACATTTAATTATTTTTTATACCAATTAAGGCCTCAAAATATATAATTTAATGACCCACGGAAACCCTGCCCATCAGTGCAAAACCACTGCCAAATAAGATGGGTTGGTCACTCAATAGAGTGAACACACAACTTCCAACCCGATTAAACCAAAAACTTTAGGAATACTATTATTTTTGAATAAAAGTAGCCCCCAAATTGTGAGAGTTGCATCCTATAGGCCATATGTTGCATGGAGGAACGCTGTTATAGGTGGAATATCTATATCCCACCTTACGGTCAGTTTCATTGACAGGAACAAGCATGTTACGCTGTTTGTGGAGGGACAGGTAAGCTTGAAACTAAGTTTTTGAAACTAAGGGAGAACCACAGAGCGAGCAATCAGGTAAGAAATATGACTTGAACAAAATTTGTTTTAAAGATGGACCACAATGAGTTAGTAATCACTGGTTTCAACCTGGAATTACTAGGAATCTCCAGCAATAATAATTTAAAGTAAGGTACAGTGGGGAAAAAAAAGTATTTAGTCAGCCACCAATAGTGCAAGTCCTCCCACTTAAAAAGATGAGAAAGGCCGGTATTTT